CCCAGCTGCCTCCCCAGTGGCCACGGAGAACTCCAGCGCCCCCGCCCCTTCTCGCTCTGGAGAAGGGGAGAAGCCAGGAGCCCAAGGGCACCCTCCGACGGCCCCTTTAAGGAGCAGCCCCCGCCCCCACCAAGCCAGCCACCGCCCCACGCGTGCCGTCAAGTTTACGGGGCGGGCAGATCGGGTGACTGGACAGGCAGCCTGGACAGCTGAGACGGTGGCCTGGCCAAAGTGGAGCGGGCACAGCGGGGAGGGAGTAGGGACGACACCCCTATCAGGGTCACAGCAATAGGGCGCCCCAAGCAGCGACAGTGGGGCTCCCAGTCAAAGCAAAGGAGGAAGACGCCATAAAGACCCGCCCCCAGCCCCAGGCGACGGCAGGGCGGGCAGGGGGGCAGCTGGTAGGGTCCCCCTGGGGGCTCTTCACCTGTCCGTCCACAGCTGGGGCGCAGGGGCCCGGGAGCCAGCTGGGTGGGAGGGTCGGAGGAGAGGGGAGGCCGATCTCAACTGGGCCCTCAGGACCCCAGTCCCTGTCCTTCCTCACCATGTGGGCCAGGGCCCTGCCACCTGCTGGCAGTGGTTGCCATGGGAGCCAGTCTGGGCGGGAGGAGGGCCAGGAGTGAGCAGGTCTCACTGCCCCGCAGGGTGGGTCCTGCAGGCGCCAGCCCGGCCTGAACCCTGAACGCGGTGCGGCCTGGTTGAGGGCGCCTGTGTGAGCTCTGGGACTGTCTTTCTTCTCAATTGAAAGTGGGAGGAACTGCCCCTCACCAAACGCCCAGCAAGGTGCCCAAGGGGGCGTCGGTCACAGGCCACAGGCTCCCGCCCCCGGGGCCTCGGTTGGGAAGGGTCAGGAGGCTTGGCTTGAAGCTGGGTCTGGTGGACACCCCGTCTGGGGGCTGAATGTTGACGACAGCTGAGAGGGGACCTCAGGCCCACCTGGGGGGACATGCCAGGGCTCCCACCGCTCCCCCCGGCCAGGCATCCTCCTGGAATGGCCTCAAGCTGGTCAGCAGCTCCCAGGGGTCAGCGAGGGAGGCTGTGGCTGCCAAGTCCCCTGGAGTAGACGTGTCTGTGCCCAGCCAGAGTGGGGTCGCGCCCTTCCCTGCGCCTCGGGCCTAGTGTGCCCGGCCTGGCTGGCTGGCAGGGAAGGGTAGGGGTGAGCGGGAGCACCAGGGCGTCGGGGAGGCCTGGGGAGGGACACACCCCTGCAGGAACTTCTGGGCTTCCGGGATGCACCTCGCCCTCCTCCATCCACTTTGTAAGGCAGATCCAAGCAGAGCTTCTGTGTTTGAGAGCATGACCCCTGCCTACTCTTTTCTTCGGCCCTTCACCTTCTCCTGTTTGGCTTGAGGGGGCTCCCCCCCCCCCCCCGCCCCCCCAGTGCAAGCAAACAAAATTCTTCGGCTGTTGACAGTGTTCCACCCAAGCAGCCAAGCTCAGCAAGTGCCTGTGAGGTCCCCACCCGCGCCCGCGGTGCCCCCCCCTGCCCCCCTGCTTCTGGTTCTTCAGCCCAAGGGCCCAGCCCCTGTCCCATCGCCCCCCACCCTGTGACCCTCTAGAGAAATGGGACCAGGACCCCCCACTCCCATCTTTCCAAAGCCCTGGACTCAACGCCCACCAACGGGCCTGGGCTCCTTCCTCCAGATGCGTCCCCTCCCCGAGCGGAAGGGCGGTCCCCAGGAGGGGAGCTCAGCGTGTCCGTCCCCACAGGTGTCCTCCTGCTCCTCGGGGCCAGCCCCTGGGCCGGGCCTCATGCGGACAACCTGGGAGCAGGGTCATGGCCGTGGTCACCTTGGGCTCTGGGCGTCCCCCAGGATTCTGGAATCGGGCAGCCCGGGCCTGGGTCTCGACAGCAGGGCGCAGACCAGCAGGGAGGCAGCTAAAGTCCCTGCCCCGGCCTGCACCCCTCCCTGGGGCCACCCCGACTCCTCGGCCTCCACCCTTTGCCGGGGCCTCCATGGGCAAAGGCCTGCCTGGGTTCTCACTCGGGGCTGCCTGTGAGCGGCATCGGCTGCCAAGGCCTCCGTTTTCCTTCTGGAAATAACTGGTTGGTGGAGCCAAGTCCCAGCACCTGCCTCCCCACCCGCATCACCAGCTGGGCCTGCCCGCCCCTCCCCCTGCACCTGCCTGGACGCTGGTCCCGTGCTGGGGCAGGACTTCCCTCTGAGGAGGCTGCACACCCCTCCCAGGGCCGGGCCACCTGGGCCCGCACTCACACCTGCTTTAGCCATCAGGCTGGCGGCTCCAGCGGCCTCCTTCTGGCCACGTGGGTCCTGGGGTGTGCTCCCTGGGGACTCAGGCATGGGGGCGGGGAGGGCCTGGAGAGAGCCTAACTGAGGCCTAAAGCCCCTGACACGCTGCCACCCAGGGGTCTCCCCACCCACCCCCGCCTGGTCTCCAGCTCCCAGGGGGCCCCTGGCCCACCTTTTTGGAAAGATCAGCTCCTCCCTTCCTTGCCCGCTCCCCGGTCCTTCTGAGGGCCATGTCAGAGCTGAGGTGGAGGGGCCGAGGGCGGGGCCACCACGAACCATGGGCCTCCGGCTGTGGCCCTGCCCCCACCGCTCCGCCCCTACCCTCCGCCTCCTGCACATTCCTCCCTGTGGAATGCGGCAATAGTGGACCGGGTTGCCCCTACACCCGTCAGCACACATTAACACTTTGCTACACTCCCAGGAGGGCTGTTGGGGGGCTCCAGAGGCTCTGGCGGGTTAGGGGGGCAGGGATCGACCCCCTAGTAGCCGGGGAGGGGTGGAATGAATCCTGACACCTCCGCTCCCCAGCTGTGCGGGAGTCCCGCGAGGAAATGGAACCTCTCAGATGCTCCCCTCACTAGTCCTGCGGGGCGGGGGTG